ATAATACCTGCAAGAAGGAAGAGAAGGAACTGAGTTTGTAGAAGCAGTGAAACTGTCGCGACCATTCTCTGCAAAAAAAGATAAGTTTAGACACGTAACGTGAGTATGGTTTTACGCTGGTTTTACGCCGGTTTTTTGCCGCTTTTAAGCATTTGCCAGCAATATTACGGCGGGGGACACCAGAAGACATGTGGGGAAGGTAATACTGGTTGATGTAGCGCGTGTGGCCGCGCATCCAGAGTCATGTAGTCATATAGACATGTATATACAAAGATGTTTATTTGGCATCGTGGGTTTGCGCCGTTTGTTGTGTTCGCGGAGAAACATTCAGGACGGACAGAAAAAAACTAAAAAAAACTTGAGTCAGTGCATCACAGCTCATATCACAATCTCAAATCCAGTTTGGCCTTAGGCCGGCGCCACCATTCGCTATAGCAACTGGCTTTTGATTCTATCGCCTAACATGGCAAATGAATGTTTTAAATAAACAAGAACCTAATCAGTGAGGGGTCATTTGTTCTCTGTATTCGACTCTGGTAAACATATGACTAACCGCTGGTTGGTGTCTATTTTCCGCTGCACTATTCGATACAGTGAGTTGGCTTGACTTTTTGAAATGACTACAGCGATGTTGTTTGAAAAAAGATGAGTTGTTTAACGCCGCACTGAGCAATGTACTACCTATTTGACGGCGCTCTGTAAATATCTCACGCACGCAGGCACGCAGGCACGCACGCAGGCACGCACGCACGCAGCTTCATTTTCTTATAATCAAAAACTTATAAAAACATAAAAGTCCTACATTTAGCAGATCACAGTACTATCTAGAGTGAGTGAGTTGGGTTTAACGCCGCTTTTAACAGTATTCCCGTTATATCAAGGCGTGTCAGCTTAATATGGAAGGAAAGCCCGAGGTGATGCAGGTCTCAGACGTTTACCACTTCGGTGAAACCCACGAGCACGGGTATGGTGCTGACAACCTAGAAACAATTGGGAAGAACCGGGATTCGAACCCAGAATCATAGGTTTCTGGCATGCCCAAGGGACGCAACACTGCACAGCGTATCGCGGGGCCTTAGACGACTGGGCCACCCGTGCCCCCGCCACTATAAGAAGAAAGTATCTCTCGCCATGTTACACTGAATATCCACCTCTTAGAAAATTCACACAGCTAATGCAAACAGGTAATAATCTAGTCCTTCATAATATGAGTTATAACAAAGCAAAAACCTACAAATTAAGAAATACCTTATACCTTTGTTTCGTGTATGAAATTGTTATGATATATGCATTTTAATCCAGCATGCTTGATTTTTCAAGCTATTTTAATGTATTCTGGGCCGGTGGTCGGTAATGGAAACATTTCTGTCGATTCCCTAACATTGATATTTGAAACATAACATTTAACAGTCAGCAATGATAATTTTTATAATGTGCAAGTCACAGGTAACATTTCTTGGAATGTGGGATCAGACGTTCAACAATTTACACCAGTACTGGACAAATTTATCGTAGCAATAAATATAAATCCCACGTCTACCAGAGTCAGCTAAAGCTGCACTACTCCGTACGTGTCTACCAACACCCAATACATATTTACAAAACTTATTATGAAATCTATCAATAACAGCTCTTTCTTGGAAGCCCCACGCCAATTCATACAACGAAAGTGGTTTGTTTTACAATCAAACTTAAATGAAATATTTACAGGAATATTTGGGTATTTATGCTGTCTCTTCTTAATACCAGAGGTTTAATGGCTTTTGATACAAGATATACACAAATAATACTCAAATAACTAACTGAGGAAATCATAGTTACAAAATAAACTTCAAAGTCTTACGATATCGCTTCAGCCCTGATGACACTTCCACCGTCTCTGCAGGAAATGAATACATGCGCTAAATACGTGCGCGTAACTGCCAACCTTTATGATCTGTAAATCACGCTGTGCACGTAATTAACATGCGATGATGCTGAGGTGCCACGCTTACAGTCAAAGGTGCCACGCTTACAGGCCAAATGAGTTCCACCAAGGTCATGCTGTTATTATTGTGAGTGAGGGAACATAAATTGCTTCAGGGCGCAGCAACTTTTATAATTTTAAGGGATAATAGATTTTCGAAGATGAATTGACATTTGAAATAAATTATTTCTGGAATTGAGATTATCACCTTTGAAAGAATTTTATTCAATAATCCTAGGTGTAATTCCATTCAGGTAAAAATATTAGTACTCCTATTAGTCGAATGTTAGTCCTGTTAGTCGAATGTTAGTCCTATTAGTCGAATGTTGCTCCTAGTCGACGCTACGCATCAAAGCTGTCGCAGCGCATGTACAATAGAGAACCAGTCTATTTGAGAAGAGTTGCAAGGCCACCGGGGCGGGGTGATAGACGGTAAACTCCTATAAGTCGAATGTTACTCCTAGTAGACGCTACGCATCAAAGCTGTCGCAGCGCATGTACAGTAGAGAACCAGTCTATTTGACAAGAGTTGCAAGGCCACCGGGCGGACTGATAGACGGCATACTCCTATTAGTCGAATGTTACCCCCAGTAGACGCTACGCATCAAAGCTGTCGCAGCGCATGTACAATAGAGAACCAGTCTATTTGAGAAGAGTTGCAAGGCCACCGGGCGGACTGATAGACGGCATACTCCTGTAAGTCGAATGTTACTCCTAGAACGATAGAACGAGGCGAAAAAGCGATAACACGAGACGAGAAAGCGGTAACACGAGAAGAGAAAGCAATACCACGAGACGAGAAAGCAATAACACGAGACGAGAAAGCGATAACACGAGAAGAAAAAGCGATAACACGAGACGAGAAAGCGAAAGAGCCATAAAACGATAGAACGAGGCGAAAAAGCGATAACACGAGACGAGAAAACGATATATACCACGAGACGAGAAAACGATAACACGAGACGAGAAAGCGGTAACAAGATGCTGATGTTCGACTGTTTCAGTTTGTGTGTCTGGTTCAAGGATGTGGGCAGACATTCAGCGCCCCGAAGAGCCGGAAGAACCACATGGTCAAGAAGCACAAGTACCCTGCCAACTACAGATTTGATAGAGCCAAACCAGGGTGAGCAGGGACATCTGACAAAATCAGGACCTGTGAAGACCCCGGGTAGAATAGGCCTTCATCAACCCACGCTGACTATGCTTGTTGTGAGAGGCGACTGACGGGGTCGGGTGGTCAGGCTGACTGATTTGGCTGATGCATGTCATTGTATCCCAACTGCATGGATCGATGCTCATGATGTCAATCACTGGATGTTCTTTACAATTGACTGGTCCAGACTCGATTGTTTACAGACCGCCGTCATATAGCTGGAATATATCTGAGTGCGCCATTAAATAATAAACAAGCAAAAGTTCATAGAATATCCTCTGACCAAGTCAGACATTAACATTAACGTTCTTAAACAACAATGGTTTGCCTATTGTAATAAGTAGCTAGGAGAGACCTGTTCTGTCTCAGAACCTCATGAAACTGGTATCAGTATTATTGTATTATGCACTGCAATGTCAGGAACATAAGCTTGACAAGTTGTTCAGGGTTGATCTGGGTTGCGGTGTTCGGGGCCTAGGTGAAGTTTTCAAGGGATTTTTATGGTTTGTTTGTTTGTTTGTTTGTTTGTTTGTTTGTTGTTTAACGCCGCACTCAGCAATATTTCAGTTATATGACAGCGGTATGTAAATAATCAAGTCTTGACCAGAGAATCCATCAAACCAAGTCAGCGAGCCTGACCACCCGACCCCGTTAGTCGCCTCTTATGACAAGCATAGTCGCCTTTTACGGCAAACATGGGTTGCTTAAGACCTGTTCTACCCCAGATCTTCGCTGGTCGATTCGTGATGAGCGAACGCTTTAACCACTAGGCTACCCGACCGCCCCTGCATAAACAAGAGTTCACCCTGATGCCTGTGTATTTGCAAAATAATTATACTGCAATCCATATTGTAATATATGGGGAGCTAAAGTGTTTGAGAGTGATTGATACTGATTCTACAAGCAAATCCTTTTTTCTACATACTAAAGTAAATATTACCTGGCATGGTCCATCGCCATAATTTTGTAGTCATGGATACAGGGGAGATAACACCATGAAAGAAATATCAATTCCGGTGTTTCAGCCAGTCAATTTCTGTCTGTCAATTTTGAAGGAAACATCATTTGTAAATGAATTTCTGTGTAGATTGTAGGTTAAACAATATAAATGATAACAAGACTTGTTTTTTTATTTTTGAACCAATATACCGGAACAGCGAAAAAAATATTGAACTATAAATCATTTGAAAAGCGTCTTGAACTGAACCGGTAATATTGTACTGTACTGTACTCTACTGTACACTAGAAAGTGTAAACCAATGGTCTGCAGAAGGTTCAGCTTCAGTTGGCAGACAAATACCTGAGTGAGTGAGTGAGTATGGTTTTATGCCGCTTTTAGCAATATTCCTGCAAGATCACTCCGGGGTACACCAGAAATAGGCTTTACACATTGTATTCATGTGGGGAATCAAATCCGGTTCTTCGGCGTGACAAGCCAACGCTTTAACCACTAGGCTACCCCAACGCCCCTGCCTTAGGATGAACAGTGTTGCAAGAGTATAGCATTACATCAGATAAACAGCTGTCTGAACCAAATGGGGTGTTACTGAATGTGGATGACTTGCAATGACATTCTTATTTAAACATGCCTGTTGAATGCAAACGTGCAAGTGGAATAGAATCTTGGCCTCATGTTGTCCTCTCAGAGTGAGGCCGGGGGTGACATGGGTGCGGATAGGCAGAGTGAGGCCGGGGGTGACATGGCTACTGATAGGCAGAGTGAGGCCGGGGGTGACATGGCTGTTGATAGGCAGAGTGAGGCCGGGGGTGACATGGCTGCTGATAGGCAGAGTGAGGCCGGGGGTGACATGGCTACTGATAGGCAGAGTGAGGCCAGGGGTGACATGGCTACTGATAGGCAGAGTGAGGCCGGGGGGTGACATGGCTGCTGATAGGCAGAGTGAGGCCGGGGGTGACATGGCTGCTGATAGGCAGAGTGAGGCCGGGGGTGACATGGCTACTGATAGGCAGAGTGAGGCCAGGGGTGACATGGCTCCTGATAGGCAGAGTGAGGCCGGGGGTGACATGGCTGCTGATAGGCAGAGTGAGGCCGGGGGTGACATGGCTGCTGATAGGCAGAGTGAGGCCGGGGGTGACATGGCTGCTGATAGGCAGAGTGAGGCCGGGGGTGACGTGGCAGCTTATAGGCAGAGTGAGGCCAGGGGTGACATGGCTGCTGATAGGCAGAGTGAGGCCGGGGGTGACATGGCTGCTGATAGGCAGAGTGAGGCCAGGGGTGACATGGCTGCTGATAGGCAGAGTGAGGCTGGGGGTGACATGGCTGCTGATAGGCAGAGTGAGGCCGGGGGTGACATGGCTGCTTATAGGCAGAGTGAGGCCGGGGGTGACATGGCTACTGATAGGCAGTGTGAGGCCGGGGCTGACATGGCTGCTGCTGATAGGCAGAGTGAGGCCGGGGGTGACATGGCTCCTGATAGGCAGAGTGAGGCCGGGGGTGACATGGCTGCTGATAGGCAGAGTGAAGCCGGGGGTGACATGGATCCTGATAGGCAGAGTGAGGCCGGGGGTGACATGGCTGCTGATAGGCAGACTGAGGCCGGGGGTGACATGGCTGCTGATAGGCAGAGTGAGGCCGGGGGTGACATGGCTGCTGATAGGCAGAGTGAGGCTGGGGGTGACATGGCTGCTGATAGGCAAAGTGAGGCCGGGGGTGACATGGCTGCTGATAGGCAGAGTGAGGCAGGAGACATGGAGGTGGCAGAGAAGGAGAACATTCCCCAGGAGGGCACTGCCCGACGTGTGTTCAGTAACAAGTAAGTACTCTCGCTATACAGTGGAGCTTCATGCAGACTTGTACAGACTATTTCATGAATTTTTTTTCGTCATACTCATTTTAAGTGAATGAGTTAGTGAATGAGTTGGGTTTAACGCTGCTTTTAACAGTATTCCAGTTGTATCACGGCGTGTCAGCTTAATGTGGGAGGAAAGCCCGAAGTGATGCAGGTCTCAGACGTTTACCACTCCGGTGAAACCCACGAGCACGGGTATGGTGCTGACAAACCTAGAAACATAATCGGGGCGAACCGGGATTCGAACCCACAATCATAGGTTTCTTGCGTGCCCAAAGGACGCAACTCTGCACAGCGAATCGCGGAGCCTTAGACGACTGGGCCACCCGTGCCCCCTCTCATTTTAAGAACAAAATGTTATAATCTATTTATTTCGTGCACAAGAGCAAGGAATTCAGCATTTCTGACCTGAGTTTGAAGGGAGATATAGGAATGGGTGCATGTTTCCGGTGCAGAACTCAAAACCATGAGAGATATCTTAACCAAAATTGTCACATAGATACGTAGGTCTAGTTATTGCTAAAAGCTGCGTAAAACCATACTCACTCACTCACTCCCCTCTATGGAAATGATACTGGGGAGAATTAACAAAAATTTCAGTCTAACTTATGCAGCAAGAAATTGAGAATGTATCAGGGGCTGACAGCTGGGACATTTCTTAGAGACAGGGTATCCTTGGTCACTGCTTCAAAAACTACAATATTCCTCACTGAAGTGGGACCGCCTCCGTGGTCTAGTGGTAGAGCGTCCGCCCGGAGAGCGGAAGGTACGGGATTCGATCCCCGGCCGCGTCATACCAAAAGACGTTAAAAGATGGTACTTGTTGTTACCCTGTCTGGCGCTCGGCATTAAGGGGCTAAAACAAGGACTGGTCGGCTCGGAGTCAGTATAGTGTGTCTGAGTGGGGTATTCATGTTAAACTGCGGCATGGTATCTCAGTGTGCTAGCACTATAAATCGGTATCACTCCGGACTAGTACAAGCAGCCACACACACACACACACGTGCATGCACGTCGCTATATAAGTGCAATAATCTTGGACGCGACGTTAAACCCAATTTCACCTCACCACCTCACTGAAGTGAGGATCCGAACACTTTTCTTTCAGTGGTCCATTCATATTTTCTCTCTTGCATTGACGTTTTACTTTTTTTTACAACTTATTTATGGTCAGGACAAGTCCAGTGAACAACTGATTTTTTTTTAAATTAGAAACCTGAGTGTCGGGTGCTACCGGTAGGGTACCTCTTTTCGCGAACACTTAGCGTCATCACTGATTTCAGTTACCATTCATATAATGTTCACTACTATTTGACTTTTACGCCCAATGGAATCTGTTTCATCGGATAATCGAGACTGGTTATTCAATGGTGTTGAATATTCATATTTCATTTTCTTGGGGCCAAAGAGGAAGTTACACCTCAAATATTCTCTCCCTTCTATTACAATTCTTCTGGCCGAAGTTTGTGTGAATGAAATCAATGGAGGTAAATAATTCCCAGTTCCCTGTATTTATTGTGTAGATAGGAATCGGGTGATTATATTGTTGAAAGGACATGTCCCCGGGTAGATATACATGTATACATGCTGTACAATGTATTTTGAGGAAATACAAAACGTGTGTCTGTATTGATATTACGTAGCCCCAGCAGCTTTATAAACTGAGGGGCAAAAGAACATATTCAGAGTTGTTTTTGTACCTAATTAAAAATTCTGAGAACTGTTGTTAAATTTTCGAAGTAGTTTTCAATCAACTCGCGCAATTATTTCTATATATTTAAGTACAAATTTCATTGTTTTAACTCAAACACTGAACGCTTATGTAGTGACGCCCAGCGTCTAATGTTACTTGATACTGTGTAGTATGGATCAGTGTGCATTAGATGTTTCTACCACATACCCGTAGGGAGTACACAACCCAAACTGTCCATGACGCGCGAGAAGGTTAACAGTCTTATAACCATGTCATCCTACCAGGTACCCATTCACTGCAGGGTGAAGAGAGGCATTTTTCGAACAAAACTTCTTTCTTTAGGAGACACGAACTTAGGAGTGACGGCGTTGCTTAACTATGCACAGGACCACGTCCCACCACACGATTTCTCTATCCACGACTTCCACCCATTCGACACTTACATGGGCGGTCGGGTAGCCTAGTGGTTAAAGCGTTCGCTCGTCACGCCGAAGACCCGGGTTCGATTCCCGACATGGGTACAATGTGTGAAGCCCATTTCTGGTGTCCCCCGCCGTGATATTGCTGGAATATAGCTACAAGCGGCGTAAAACCATACTCACTCGACGCTTACATAGATTTGCTGATAATATGGTCTTCGTCAGTGTTTGGTTGCAACTATCTGATTCTTAATGTGTGTAGTCGGGTTTTCTTCTATAATGAAAAAAATCAAGCCCCCGTTTTTCCCGAAAAAATACGTATGGCTGCATTCTAGGAGAGGAAATAAGATGCACTTTTCTTGCAGACAAGCGTCCAAAGAATATAGTTTCTTTTTTTTATATATTTCCAAAAACTACTTTAGTACCTGTTGTAAAACATATTTTGTTTAAATTGCTCAAACCAACGTCACCCTACGCCGTACTTCCGAGTTGTTAATAAATTATTCTCTGAAATACTCATGTTCTTTTTTCTATGAGGGTTTCATTGATTTAAGTTAAGATCTGAACGACGTCACATGACATAGAGACACTTTGGCAAATCTGGACACCCGTACAATTAGTTTCTGACACTCCCGGAAACGGAAGGGGATTATGGTTCTGTTCTTATACAATATCCCTACTCGTTCATGTATCTATAGGGGGCACGGGTGGCCCAGTCGTCTAAGGCGCCGCGATTCGCTGTGCAGAGTTGCGTCCCTTGGGCAGGCAAGAAACCTAAGATTGTCGGTTCGAATCCCGGTTCGCCCGGATTATGTTTCTAGGTTTGTCAGCACCATACCCTTGCTCGTGGGTTTCAACGAAGTGGTAAACGTCTGAGATCTGCATCACTTCGGGCTTTCCTCCCACATTAAGCTGACACGCCGCGATATAACTCGAATACTGTTAAAAGAGGCGTTAAACTAAACTCACTCACTCACTCATGTTTCTATATCACGTGACAAGAAACCTTGGTTGGAAAATTATAATAGAAAAGTAACAAAAACTACACTCAATAATTTTAATTAAATTCATATTTAACCATAACACCTAATTATATGCAAATATATACTGCCATTAATACTTAATCATTCCTCAAGCAGCAGTTGATAAATAAAGTACTTGATAATATAAGGAAAAGAATAAAAATATTTTTTGTGGGGAAAACACTGAAGAACTGCCTCAAATTAAAAGTGGTTCCTGTTTTGCATAAAAAACATTATACATATGCGTGAAGCTGAACCGCATGACGTGTGAGTGAGTGAGTGAGGGAAAGGAACTTTTCAATAGGGAAATGGACGATGGCACTTTTCTTCATACATTTTGTCGAATCGCTCACTCTGAGCAACTGTGAACCAGTTCTTCCAATCGCCTGTTTCGCCTGCAAACAGAAGTATGTACAGTAAAGTACGGTTATAACGAACTCAAAGGGACTACTAATTTTAGTTCGTTATAACCGTAGTTCGTTATAAGCATATATACAGCATCACTACAGCAAATAGTCGGGACCAAAAAAGTAAGTTCGTTATATCCGTCAGTTCGTTATAAGCGTGTTCGTTATAACCGTAGTTTACTGTAATTCAATTATGTATGTTACCATAGAATAAAGATCACCTGCCTCGTCATATGATGTTATAACATTGTCTTGGAACGTTAGAATTACCTTTACTTATTTCTCAATGTCATGATGTGCCCTACCTCTGCTGAACAAACCAGATGACCCGTCTCTCCATGGGTTCAAGTGTGTTGGGTCCTTGTGCTTGGAAGCCTGTTTCAGCTCAGAAAAGCTGCATGCGTCAGAGATTTCTTCGTAAACCTTGTCAGATAGAGGACGATTGAGGAATTCAGCAAGGCGCTTTATTTCCTCCACATTATTCTGACCAAAAACGAAGCATTCTCTTGTAATAACAATGTCAAATGAATTAGATATTTGTTCGTATTTGTTAAGAAGTTACCCACAATAAGTGACACAAATTGTGTAGATTTGTATTTGAATAGAAAAGAATTCTGATTCTGAATTCTGATGATCAAGATCACTATGTACGGGAATTGTTGATACACGCGGTATGATGGGAACACTACATAAGTTTTTATGTATGAATTAGATCTGTCAATTGTACGGGAATTGTTGATACACGCGGTATGATGGGAACACTATATAAGTTTTTATGTATGAATTAGATCTGTCAATTGTACGGGAATTGTTGATACACGCGGTGTGATGGGAACACTACATAAGTTTTTATGTATGAATTAGATCTGTCAATTGTATTTTAGCTTTTATTTACTGACTTTTGCGAAGAATTATGACAAGTGTAAATGTTGAGTCGAATGTGAGTTGTACTATTGTGACGAGGCGTAGATGTCGAAGGTTTAGATAGGGGCGATAACTCATTTGTTTACATAATTGTATAAATCAAAGTTATGTGCTGGGCGAAAATGGGCCTCCTTCACAGTCCCTGTGGCCCATGCTGGGCCTAAATCCAATACACAAATCGATATAGTCGTAATCGGTGGTAAACTAATGTTGTTCTCAAACACTTTTCTAACTCAAAACAACAAATATAGCCCCATTTCAATTTGCCATGTTAACAGTGGATTATCCGAATATCAGTAGTGTTAACATATATATTGATGGTTTTCAGAACATTAATTATACTTCAGGAAGTGTTAAACATTTGTTGTGAAATAGTATTTGGTAGATCTACTGTATATATCTTATATCAACATCAACTGCTGAAAAACGCTTAAAGTAGACAGCATAATGTTAAAATCATAACACTAAAAAGGACCGATATCTTGAAATGCTTTTTATCTCAA